CGTGTGCGCGTCTCAGGAGCCGGTGTGCGGATCAGACGGTCAGACTTACATGAACCTCTGCAAATTCAAAGAAGCAGCGTTCTCCAAACCGGGACTAAACTCGAGCCACGGGCCCTGCAACACCGGTATGAGCACGAGCTCCATGTCCATATTCCAGTTCTCCATGCAGATCTTAGATCATAAGCCTCAGCACGCAGAGTCACAGAGATCAGAGCACAGTAAACATTTACTGCTTCTTACAGAAAGCTCATTTTATTCTCCTAAAACAGCACATCACCCAGTGTTTTATTCCTCTTCTACCATCTTTCCACTCATTAAATTACAACACATCATACTTTCTGTCCATTTCTAATCACATTTAACGTCGTGGGACATCTTTAAAACGTGTTAGTTCCTGCTGTCACTTACGTTATAGCAGCTATAAACAGTCTTTCCCTCACCAGCCTCTTGTATAAAAGAAACAAACGCAGTTTGTCATGTTCCCGAGAAACCGCAAAGCATAAACGCCTCTGTTTCAAAAGTGTCGGAAAACTTAGTCACAGTTTAACGTCTGACTGTTACAAAGTGGAGACTCCTTCCATCAACGTTACATAAACATCTCCTTACACAAAACGTCACCATGACAACAATTCCACGCATTTTTTAATCCCTTCATGTGGAGCGTCCACTGTACACCAATGAGCCGTTACTATAGAAACGGAAACGTACCGTCATAGCAGCTGTTAGAGAAAATGAAAATACGTTCTGATCAGAGTGAAGGGAATAAATGAGTTCCTTCTGTGTGTTCTTTTCTTTTTCATTACTAATCATTCCAACCTTCTAAATCATTAATAGACCATCGAGGATTTCTTGACACTATTCTTCTTTGTTATTTGTTTTGTTTTTTTTGTTTGGTTTTTTTGTCCATACAGCTTATGAGTTCTCTTACAAATGTTTTCCTGTCCTAAACCTTTTAACTGCCTGTTTGGGAGTTTTGGACTTTCTGGAGCCTATAATTTTCCTGCTGGCTTCCGGGGGGAGATTTATGACCTCTGAACAACTGCAGCACAGTCAGACTTACACAAGTGGCTGTAGTGCTTTGTTGAGAGGAAATAGCTTCTGAACATGATCCCTCGTCTGATCCCTCTCTTTCTTTTTCTCTTTCTTCGTGGTAAGTTCCTATCATCAAAGTCCCTCCACGTAACTTGGTGAACGTGACCGGCAGCAGTGCGGTGTTTTTGTGCGAGGTCTTTGCCTTCCCTATGGCGCTGGTGGAATGGAGGAAAGAGGGGAAGGAGGTTGTTTTGCCTGGAGATGATCCTCATATATCTGTGCAGGTTAACAATATCAAATATTAATGTTTGTGCGTATAATCTGGGATATAATAGAATATACATGTATATATGTACTCACATGTCCCTCGTCCTACATAGTCCAGAGGAGGTCCTCAGAAATATGAGCTCTCTAGCTGGCTGCAGATTGAGGACGCGACTCGGGCGGATTCAGGTACCTACAGATGCATCGCCAAGAATGGCCTGGGCAATGTCTCAGCCACTGCAGTGCTGGGGATCCTGCCACCAGGTAACAGGCTACCACATAAACACTGTCTTTACCCTGTACGATTTTCAGCCCGAATTTGCTCTCGTAGAGAACAATTGCACATCGGAAAAGAGTTCTTTGGTTCCACTTAGAAAGCATGATGTGACACGTGGCTGATTTAGTGCCACTGTGACCAAAGACAGCTGAAGACAATGTCTGAAATGTTTGATTAAACTCAGAATGATCGCTGCTACACCTCTCATTTAAAAGCCACCAATAGGATGACGGGATAGGATACCTCAAATTCACGACCGCTACAAATATGATAGTGGCAATGGAGGAACATAAATAAATCAAACCAGTGGACAGAAAAACTATATCCTTATTACCTCAAGCTCACTTTAAAGAACGGACCGTTCCATCTCGTCCTCTTTTACCCAGCCACAAACGGCTCCAAACTCCTCTTCTTCACCTTCAGCGTTATTCTCCAGGCATAACATTGCTACTGTTATCCTGAGGGTTTATTTGTGCTTATGCGAGCCTGTCTTCTGCATGCTGAGTGATGATGTGATCAGAATGTAGTCCTTTTCTTTAATCTTCATCGAATAATCTGACCAATTTGGCCAAGATTGGCATATCTCATACAGTATGACAAGTTATACTGCTTAAAAGACCGCTGAACTCCTACAGTTATAAAAAATGCCTTTTAAGATGTTGATCTAAAAAATGTTGTTTCATTTATTCCTAGATGAGATGGCTGCCTATTTAGAAGAAAGCATGAAAGAGTTGATGGGATACGATCCAATCCGAGACTACGATGGAGACTACTATTGAACCACTTTAGAGCTGAAACGTTTTCTCAGCAGAAGACTTGAGAAACTCTACTTGAAGACTAAAACTGCCTCCTGTGTCCGTGAGAGACTTGACATCTGGACCCACAAACACTAAGAGCACAGAGAGAACGTGACACAGCCCACTGACATGAAAGAAAAATACACATTACACACTAGACCTCAAAAAAAGCAAGAGCCGCCCTGATGGATGTAGAGCATCGCCGATGGAGGTTTTAATCAGAAGATGAAGGAGGATGAATATTTCTCTTGTTCTAACTGCTGCTCTTTACATTTCCTCTTCTGATGTAGGCTATAAAATATATCTGCTTCTGAACAGGGAACTCGGAGCACATTCCAGACGCACTGTAACTCTTTGTTGAGTCTCTAATTTCATGTGGTCTTTGAATACCAAGTCGTAATATATCCCTTTCCTGAATTTATATATTTTTCCATATGTGGTATCCCACCGTTTGTGTGCACGGGTGCTAGTTTGATTCCCAGAGGGAGGAGCGTCGTCCACAGCTGGGTTTCTTTAAGAGCTTCCGTCTTAAAGCCTGAGCACAGACATCCTATTTTGAATTTCTTATAAGGTGCAATCGCTCTTGTTTAATAAAAATGAGTGACTATGGACTAAATACTGACATACTTTGACCTTGCAGTATGTCCACTTTTCAGCTGAGTGGTTAGATGACTACTTTCAAATGAAAAGGCTGTGGAAAGTGAGATCTTTCTTTGTTTCTCTTTGATTCAGACTAGTCACAGGCCTATTTATTATAATGTGTATGTTAGTCAATATCGTGCTTAGTTGTTATGTACTTTTGTATACTTATATTTATATGAACGGGCCATTTTGACATAGAGGAACCTTTCATGTTCAGGTTCACGTAAATACACTGCAGTATTTTCAGCAGTACAGAATGCCCATGTACAAGTACTTTTATACCTTACCACTGTTTTATTTACAATAAAACATAACCAAAACTGTGGTTTTGTTCGTATGTCCTTTATGAAATATTTTATCTGGTAAAGTAATCAGAGCACAGCCAGGTTAAAATGGTCCAATCGACTAGTTTTGTCAAGTCTTCTGTAGCTAGTCTGGATGCAGTGTTAAAGGAACAGTGTTAATCCTTGAGAACATGCTCTGTCTTTACAGGTGGATAAGATTTCTACACTTTTGTGAAACACAGGACTCTCTTTTCCCCCAGAGATTCTGATCAGAACCATAGCGTAACTCGCCTCTGTGGAATCAGTTCATTCCTTCCCAGTTTCCGTTAGACTTGTTTGGAGAACAGGAGAAGTAATTGGGGGATTGGAAGAGAGCCCAGAAGCGGGAGCAGGGGGCTTCCCTGTTTTCCTAAACCATCCATTAATGTCCTGCAATGAAAAGACATTACTGGCACAGAGAGGAGTGCGGTTCATTTCCACGTAGGCATTAACATGAATGGATGAATGATTAGATTGTGTCCTGCTGGAAACAGCTGAAAATAAAATTAAACAATGTGTGAAAGCAGAATGTAAATTCACTCCTCATTTTCTGCTTGCAGTGAAAATTCCATGGAATCCCAAGCAACGACCACATAAAGTATTTCTGTAGCGCTCATGCTGCATGCCACATGGTAGCCATTGGGAAATACCTCCACGAGACGCTCCACGAGAACGGGTTCTGTCTGAATAAAGGTAACCATTTCCAGACATTAATTTCTTTACATCGGCTATTTGCATGTCTTACGAAGAACATATAAAATCCATTAATCAGGAGTTAGAACGAGGTGCAGTAAAGGGTAATATTCAGAGATTCCTCCAAACCTCAAAATAAGCCTTACTTATAATAAATAAAAAAGTAGCATTCTGTGCAAAAGTCGTTTGAGGCAAAGAACTCAAACTGTGTCTTCCTTCAAAGCCAAGGAGGAATGTGGAGACAGTTAGGCAATTGTTCGACCTTGATTTGTTACAGACCATTTGTTTATACTGAAGCGAACTCAGAAACAAGCTGCAAAATCCCAATGTGGTTTTGATTTAAAAATTGTAAGCAATGTTGAAGAATGTGAGTTTGATGTAGAAGAAGGAGCAAGTACAAAAGTAACTACTTAGCTAGAACAAATTTTCACCATTCATTCAGTTTATTTCAAATTTATTACACCCAGGCGTAGATTTAGATCCCTAATGAAGAAACCAGAGGTGGCAGTGTGAGGAAAAACTCCCTGAGATGACATGAGGAATAAACCTTGAGAGGAAACAGAGACAAAACAGAAACGAGGAATAAACCTTTGTTAGGTCCTCTTCTGGACGACAGTACTCATCTCGAAGAACAGAATGCAGACCTAGTGGCTTAATGGATAAGGCTTTGCAGTGTGTGCTGGAGAAGCCTAGAGGATTGCTATATTTTGTATGCTGAAATTTGATCTCAACCCTTTGAGCAAGTTTCCATCACTAGTGCAAGAAATAAAACCATATAAAAATATTATAAAAGGTCCCAAACAGAGGCTTACTGGTCCAATTGGTAAAGTATCAACCTTCATAGCGGGGGATTGTGAGTTTAAGTCTCATCTGGCTGCACTTTAGGTCAAAAAGGCACCCAGGTGTCTACCTTGTCCTGAAGGTCTTCATCAGTGATTGTTCTGACAATTAGCCACGCACGTGTGAAAAGGCATGCCGGTGGTGTAATGTTATCATGTGAGCTTCTCATTCTTGTGAATTAGGTTCAATTCCTGGCTGGCGTTGGCTATTGTGACCCTTTGTCGCCTTTCAGGGCAAGTTGAAACAATCCTACAGGGTTGTTATGAATGTGGAGTCAATTTGCAAGTCAAAGGCACCAAAATGTAGTGGAGCATTCATCATAGTTTCTATCACATTTGAGCTAGAAAAACATCAAAGCACATTTTCAAACTGCTCAAGGTAATGGATAATGCATTAGCCTCCAGAACTTTCCAGGGTCTGCCAGAAAAAAATCTAGAGGGTAACTGTGAATGTGGAATATCCCGAGGCCTTACATATGCACTGAAGCACCAGTGGTGTAGTGGTATCATGCAAGATTCCCATTCTTGTGAACCGGGTTCGATTCCCGGCTGGTGCAGACCATTGTAAGAGTTTGGTTCTTTATGGGGTAGGTGGAAAAACAGCCTGTAGGATTGCTGTGAATGTGAAAAGGCTTTCATTTACATCTGCCAGCTGTACTTTAGGGCACACAGACCTTGTCCTGTAGGTCTTCATCAATAAATGTTCTGACAATTAGCCAAGCAGACAACATGAGCATTGCTGCCCTACAGGGTCTGGAAAAGACACCTATGAATGTAGAAAGTCAATCTGAACCTGTTAGTAGAATTTTCCTGTTAATGGATATGTGAAAAAGTCTGAGATTTAAAGTCAAGGGCACCAAAATGTAGTGGTGTCGTGCAGTATGCCTGTTCTTATGGACTGGTTTTGATTCCTTCCTTGTGCAGACTGTTGCGATGCTTTGATTCTTTCCATAGTCTAGTTCCACAGTCTATACTATTCCCTAGGGGTTGTGATTTTCCCTTGGCATCGGCCCAGTGGCCTAACGGATAAGGCATCAGCCTTCGGAGCTGAGGATTGTGGGTTCGAGTCCCATCTGGGTCAATTTATAGCCAGGCATCTGAAATTGCTGCCTGCTCTTTAACTCAGAAGAGCCCACTGTGGTCTGCCTTGTTCTGCAGGTTTTCATCTCTAATTGTTCTGGCAACTAGCCATGCACACGTGACCATAAGCACAAATAGTGTCTATCACAGGTTTGAACCAGGTTTGATTCCTGGCTGGTGCAGTCTTTGTTGCCTTCCAGGGCATGCTGAAAAAGCCTGAAGTATTACTGGGAATGTGCAAAGTCAATCTGAACTTGTTAATGGAATTTTCTCTCATATGTGAAAAACTTCTGAGACTTAAAAACAAAATGTACCAAATGTACACCGAAATGTAGTGGTGTCCCAGAAGATTCCTGTTCTTGTGAACTGGTTTGATTCCCACCTTGTGCAGACTGTCGTGATGCTTTGTTGCTTTCCAGGGTCTGCTTGAAAAATTCTAGAGGGTAGCTGTGCATATAGATAGTCATAAAAATTGTTAGCTGTCCTTCAGGCCTTCATCACTAATTGTTCTAAGATTTCGCCAAGCACCCGTGAGGCAATGCGCCAGTGGTGTTGTGGTATCATGCCAGATTCCCATTCTTGTAAACTGGGTTCAATTTCTGGGTGGTGCTCACTGTAGGCCCAGTGGCCTAATGGATAAGGCATCAGCCTTCGGAGCTGAGGATTGTGGGTTCGAGTCCCATCTGGGTCAATTTGCTATTAGAAATTGCCTTTAGGTCAAAAGGCACCCAAGCTATTTACATTTCCTTCAGGGCTTCATCACTAATAGCTCTGATAATTAGCTATGGGGCCCCTGAACAGAGCGCCAGTGGTGTAGTGGTATCATGCAAGATTCCCATTCTTGTGAACTGGGTTCGATTCCCGGCTGGTGCAGAATCCTGTCACTCTGCTTTTTGCAGGGTAAAAAAGCCTACAGGATTGCTGCGAATGTGGAAAGTCAATATGAAGCTTTGATGTGAAAAATCTTTGAAGCTGCAAGAGCACCAAAATGAGTCCGTTCCCCTGCAGCTCTTCGTGCCTGCTTTACAGTAGCTAGACATAAGAAATCGCCTGCTGGTCTTCATCAGTGATTGTCCTGAAACTTAGTGATGCGTGTCTGAACTGAAGCAGGCTATTGTGAGGCTTTGCTGCTTTCCAGGGTCTGCTGAAAAAGCCTGTGAATGTAGAAAGTCAATCTGAACCTGTTAATGGAACTTCTGAGATTTAAAGTCAAGGGCACCAAAAATGTAGTGGTGTCATGCAAGATTCCCATGTGGAGCCATTTCTGGAGGCCCAGTGGCCTAATGGATAAGGCATCAGCCTTCGGAGCTGAGGATTGTGGGTTCGAATCCCATCTGGGTCAGTTTATCGCTAGGCATAAGCAATTGCTGTCAAGAGAGCATCCAGGCACTAACTGGTCTGACATGCATGTGAGAGGAGACATGCCAGTGGTATTATCCAAGGCTCCTGCAGACTGTGAGGAGAGTCTTCTCTGTTGCAGCATAGGCCTACAGGATTGCTGTGAATGTGGAAAGTCAATATGAATCTTTGAAATTGCAAGTCAAAATTCAAGGGCACCAAAATGAGTGTGTTGCCCTGCAGTTATTCATACCTGCTTTTTCTGACAAGCACATATGGGCTTCTTGTGCAAAGTGTCAGTGGTGTAATGGTATCATACAATTTCCATTCTTGTGAATCAGGTTTGATTACTGCTTTACGACTGTTGCAATGCTTTTTTTGCTTTCCAGAGTCTGTCAGAAAAAAGTCACTATGGACTTCATAGCTCAGACTGTTGTGAGGCTTTGCTGCTTTTGTCTGCTCAAAAAGCCTATGAATGTAGAAAGTCAATATGAACCTGGCAATCGAATTTCTCTCATGTGTGAAAAACTTCTGAAACTCAAAATGTACCATATGTACACTGAAATCTAGTGGTGTCACGCAAGATTCCCGTTCTTGGGAACTGGTTATGTTTCCCACCTTGTGCAGACTGTTGCGATGCTTTGTTGCTACCGAAACAATTCTAGTGGGTAGCTGTGAATGTTATAGCTAGGAATAAATAATAAAGAAGTCCTTCAGGCCTTCATCACTAACTGGTACAAAGTGCCAGTGGTGTAGTGGTATCATGCGAGATTCCCACTCTGGTGAACTGGGCTTGATTCCCAGGTGGCGCAGACCACTATGCAGGTTTTCTTCTTTGCAGGTTAAAAATCTAGTGGGCAGATATTAGTGAGTTAGTAATCACTAATAGCTCCGATAATTAACCACAGAGTGTAGCACCAGTGGTGTAGTGGTATCATGCAAGATTCCCATTCTTGTGAACCGGGTTCGATTCCCGGCTGGTGCAGAATCCAGTTGCTCTGCTTTTTGCAGGGTAAAAAAGCCTACAGGATTGCTGCGAATGTGGAAAGTCAATATGAAGCTTTGATGTGAAAAATCTTTGAAGCTGCAAGGGCACCAAAATGAGTCCGTTCCCCTGCAGCTCTTCGTGCCTGCTTTACAGTAGCTAGACATAAGAAATCGCCTGCTGCACTTTAGGTCAAAAGGGCACCCAGACATCTACGCAGTCCTGAAGGTCTTCGTCAGTGATTGTCCTGAAAATTGTCATTGCGTGCCGATCCAGTGGCCTAATGGATAAGGCATCAGCCTTCGGAGCTGAGGATTGTGGGTTCGAGTCCCATCTGGGTCAGTTTATCGCTAGGCTAGAGCTGGCTGCCCTTTAGCTCAAAAGAGCACACTGCGGCCTGTTTTCTGCATCACTAAATGTTCTGACAATTCTTTCGTAGTGAATGTGGGAAATCAATCTGAAACCATTCATGGACAGAACATGGGGAGAAAAAACCTTTCTCTCTTAGACAAGATTACGTGACAAGTGTGCGTGCAATTTATATAATTTACCTTCACTTCCCCTAGAGGGCAGCAGAGAGTCATAAATAGTTTGAAGAGTTTGAAGAATCTGTTCTCTTCGATACTTTTTATTTTGGAAGGTGTCAGAAATTAGTGAGGAAACTCTAATTTTAAAGAGCAAGACAGAATACACTGTTTCCTCTACACTATTTGTGTGTGTGTGTGTGTGAGTGTGTGTGTGTGTGTGTGTGTGTGTGAATGGCAATGGAAACAGGATGTCAGCAAGAGCAGCTGACCACAGAGTCGATGTGACGCCTTAAATGTTAAATCTGCTGTTATGAGACGTGCAAATCCAACTGACCATCGTGTAGAGAAGACTAACACAGAAGTTCATCAGTATTTTAATGAACTGCAATTGCAAATTAATTTGCAATTAATAAAAACTCTGTGTTTGTAAATGAGTAAACAAAAGTGTCAAAAAAAACCCGACTGCTGTCTGTTGGGTGGAAGGAATTACAGTAAGGAACTAAATATTGACATTTGACATTTTAATCATGTTTATTACTGTAGTATTAGACACACACACACACACACACACACGCACACACATCAAGCGTATCTCTTGTTGCAGAGTGTTGCAAAAGAACTCAACTGGGTTATACAGGATGTACAAATGGCGGAACTTGAAGATGTTAATTACGTCACAAGGAAATACGCAGGAAAGGGGTGTTACACTAGATGAAAGAGGCTTCAAGTCGTAGTTGTTTTAAAGAGGAGTATGAAACAGAGAGACATGGAGGAGGATATTAGAAAGAAGGGTATGCTATATTTGCAGCAGCAACGATTTGGAAAGGTAAGACAACATGCCTGAATTAACACGTGCCTGACAAGGAAATAATGATGAGAAGCAGGTTTTTGACGTATCTGGTTATAATCGAAGGCAGTGGAATTATGGAAAAGCTGATAGAGAGCCAAAGTGTTTTAGCGCACAACAGCTTTCCGTTGCCGGGTCCATTGTGTAAATTGAATTATGACATTATACATAAATTCTAGCAATAAACTCTTGATTGTTGTGTCTAATCCAATCAATGGAGTCTCCATGCACACTGCTTGGAAATGACTTAGGAGCTATACACAAGTTTTGCACATTATTACTAAAATATACATATCACTAAAGACCTTACACACTTGCAGGTATTGTAATGCGTGAAAGCAAATGTAATGCTTGCTATCGATAACAAAATAGCTTTCGGTTAGCATCATTGTGCGCGCCTCGCCAATCCGTATCCCAAAATCATTATTTATTTATTAGGATTAACACTGTGACGGTTCTTGAAGAGGGCAGAGGGTAAAAAAAAACGTATTTACGAATGGTTTATTGATATATTGCTTAGAAAACAGTCCTTTTAGTCTGCTTTAGATTACACTCTCAAATCAGAAGTTATGATATATGGACCAAAGCCTTCAATACTTTGTAAGAAAAGGTTCCTCACGGGTTCTTCAACTCGTTAACAGCTTTAGATTTCTAAAACTGTTTCTGATGAAGAAACCCTTCTTGCCTTCTGCAAAAGATGTTGTAAGGCTCTACATACAACGTTAAGGGTTTTCCCCAGAGCTTTAGTTCTCAAAGTGAAATCCAGACAGCAGAGTCCGGGGTCCAGGGACCGCCAGAGGGTCTGCTCTAGCTCATCTGCCTCAAAACCTCAGTAACTCAAACATTTAAATGATGTCAGCTTGGATGCAGAATACTAGTGCATTCCGACGATGGAAAGTTCAGGAATAAAAAGCTCTATGGCTGCAGTAATAATCCGGAATATTATTGTAGACATTTGAATGAAGGGCTTGATGTGTGAATAGTTGGATTATGTTCACAAAAAAAGCTGCACCGAGGGGGTCCATGGAATTTATTTTATTGGCTTAAAAAGTTTGAGAGCCCCTGACTTAGAGACCAACCAAAGAACACTTTAGGCTGATAAAGGAAACCTTTAATCCTATGAAAGTCTAAGCCTGTGTTTTAAAAACAAATCCATTTGTCCATTTCTTTTAAATGATTTTTTTCACCGCTTGTCTGTTGCAGAAGTGGAGGAAAGTGTGGTGTATTCTGTACCGAGAAAGCACCTGTTCGATCTCACGGCTAGAGTTTTTCGAGTGTAAAGATGGCGGGACTGGCACGTTGGAGAAATCCAAATGCAAGCAGGACAACAAAAAGGCGAGTAAATCAGCAGTAAAGATGCCACGTGGGCGCAGTGTAACTGCGGGGGACAGTGTAAATGTGTTCAGCGCTTGTAATGCTATGATTTAAAAAAATCGATATTTATTTTGCTTGACGTATTCATAGACAGAAACTATTTGATGTGGCTCAAAAAAACATCATTGTTTAGTAAGCACAAATTTGCAGTATCACAGCCTGACTCATACTGAGCAGCACTGTCAGTTTTGTCCTCCTTGGAAAGGTATCAAATGATTCATACAAGTAGTTTCCATTTTACAACTGCAAAATTCAAGCATATAATATGATAAAATTAAAGATTTAACTTAGTGATATAGCATAACGTGCGGTGTTAACATGTGAACACGGTACCGCTGCAGATTATCAGACTGAGTGACTGCATTCGCGTGACGGAGGCCGCCGATGTGGACGGGTGCCCAAAGGACTGCAAGGCCTTCTTGGTGGAAACCACTGAGAAGACGTTTGTCTTTGCTGTAGAAATGGTTGAAGTAGATGACTGGATGCAGAAACTGTGTGAAATTGCATTTCCTGTAAGTAAGAGCCGACTTCTTCTGCAACAACACTTGGTGTTAATTTCTTCAGCTGAATGAAAAGCTATCGTAAGCACGTTGCGTGCGAAAGTATAGAAAATAAATCTTTTTAATATTCCACGTAGACGAGCTCACACAGGTTTACACCACAGAGGATTTTTGAGAACTCTTACAACCTAAAATTAGAGTGTCTTATATTTATCTGTGCAGATTTACATCAGAGGAAATCGAGGTGTGCTTTTAGAGTTACCTTGATAAACATTACGTAGGTTAGAAAGTACTAGCTGACGGGGCGGTGGAATAAAGCGGCGTTACTGTTTCCACCTGGAAGCCGACTGTTTTCACATAACAGCACATGAGCTACTCTTCTAACACCACAACAATTTACCAACGATGACAATGTTTTAAAAGTAACATACAAAAAAGTCATACTTTTTTTTTTTTTTTTTTATCCATTTATAGTTACATTTAATGTTGTGGAAAGTCTGTAAAACAAGTTACTTCCTGGTGCTACTTCCTTTTTCTCTCTCTTGAAGTTCGCAAGACAGAAAAACACCGCTTGTCATGTTACAGACAAACCGCAAAGAAGGGTAAACTCCTCTGGCCTGAAGATAAACACAAAGCTGAAAATTACAGCTGTATCCCTGACACTGGAGACTCCTTCCATAAATGTTAAATAAATGTCTCCTTGACTGCACTGTACTAACAATGACATGCTTTATTTTGTTAAATAATAACACATCTCGCAATCTGTGGCTGACGACCGGCGAAGTGACTCCTTCAATTTTTTGATAGAGATCTAGACCAGATCACTTTTGACTTTCAAAACAAGAGTCAAATCTTTCCATGAGATTGAATGTGACCTTTTCGGTTTGCATTGTTTCAGAAACACAAAGGGTAACTTGCATAAACACAAGACCAGAGGTTAAGGTCAGACAATGTGATATGAACAATAACTAGTACTTCTACATCACAGATGATCAGTAAACGCACTCGTGTGTGTTCGCTTTTTAACACCACTACTTCTGTCTTTCTTTCTTTTTCTTTTTTTTTAAAGCACATGTTAATGTTTTTAAATTAGAAACACAACATGTGTGTTAATTAATGTACAATATATATATATATATATATATATATATATATATATATATATATATATATATATATATTTTTTTTTTTATGTATATGTATATGAATTATTTGTTCTTGAAATTTTAATTTAGGGAATTAAGGTGACAGCTCCTTCCACTCATCAGTCCTTTTATTTATTTCACTGCAATTTTGTACAAATCCAAATCACATCATAATCACATCATAATCATTTCATTCATGTCATTAAGTTTGTTTTTTAGATAATTCATTAGATAATGGCTGACTTCACGCTAGGCACACACTGTAACCATAACGACACACTTACCAGTTTTAGCTTTAGTACAGGCTCACTAGCTGCTGTTGATATTATTATGCTTAATGACAATAACAGTAAAGATTAGATGTATTTAATTAAGCAGGGAGCAGGGAGCTTACATGAGCTTCGGATTGGGAGACAGAAGATGAAGAGTGTTTG